ACCTGTTGAGTTACTGATGTAGGTGGCGCTGGGGACCCAGGATGAGCATTTCCTCAGCATCCAGGCTGATGACTTCCTGTCATGGAACTGTTTCTCCTCTGGTTTGGACCCCATGTCCTGTGTCATTTATTGTCCTGCTCCGCAACGCTCATATTTCTTAGCAGTCCTCTGCAATACAATTGCTATAGTGTATTTCAGCCAAAGCTGCCAGCATTAGACAGATATCTTAGTTTTCCACGTAAGAGAATTCCTGATGTCTTCCAGCTAAGCTACATTTTCTTTAGTTTGTCATATAGTCGGGCCTACTTTTGACTTACATGGAGCTTGAATTTTGCGAATACTCCTCAACACAACGTGTTGGCAAGTCTCCCCATGCTCTTCATCACATAAATCATCACTCTGTAGCTCACAGCTAACGATTTCCGAGCTCACGCTAGGATTTCTATGGGTGGTTATTTGGCCCTCTCATGATATTTCTTTGGCCACCATGAATCACTGATTTAATTCGTGTGCCTTTATTCAATCCAGTGACAATTTGTAAGAAGCACGTGAGAGAACTGGTTGTATGTCACTATGGTTTTTTCCAGCTGCCTTCCTTGGTGACTGGCATATTATATTAATCATCACCCCTGGCGTAAAGCTGCACAAATTAGCATGCTTTTAAGAGTCACATGGGGATTTATAACTGTCCAGAGTGATGAGAACTAGCAAATGCTATGTGTACAGTCCTAAACACAGTATCTGTGCCAACCGTTTGGAGGCCCCAGGAACATTAGAGAAGAGGGGTGGGAGGACTGTTGGCATCCAGGGATGATGGAGAGCGTACTGGGGTGCTGTCTTCTGCGTATGACATCAGCATTGTAAACACTGAAGCACAGTACCAGTAACTGCCTGCACACAGCAGGAAAGAAAAAAAAAGAGAGAGACGGAGGGAGGGAAAAGGAGAAGGGAAGAAATGGGAGGGGAGGAGAAGAAATAGAGGGGAGGAGGGTAGAGAAAAGAAAAAAGAAAGAAGTGAGGGGAGGAGGGGAACTAGATTGGAAGAGTGGGGGGTGGTGTAAGGGGAGGAAAAGAAGGGTAGTGAGTGTTGAATGTGCTCACAGTACACTGTGCAAACACGAGAGTCAAATGTATAAAATATTTAGTGGGAAATATAAAATGAAAATAAAAAGAGGTGAAAAAGTGCAAACAAAAAAAAAACAGGTTTTTTTTTTTTTTTGAAAATGCCAGATTTTATTCTACTATGTACTGTGTTTTCCTGTGTGAGGTCCTTTGACCCAAGTGTTCCAATTTTCCTAACAATATCTAGTATATTCATTCTAAAGCAGTAGCTCCCAACCTATAAGTCGCAACCCCTCGGGGGGGGGGGGCTGAATGCCCCTTTCACAGGGGTTGCCTAAGACCATCTGAAAACACAGATATTTACTTCCATAACTTACAGAATCACAGTTATGAAGCAGCAACATGAGTAACTTATGGTTGGGGGTCACTACGACATAAGGGATGGTATTAAAGGGGTGTGGCACTAGCAAGGTTGAGAACCACTACTCCAATGGATGTCTGTTTGTTTGCTTGGTTTGTGTTTGTTTTGTTTTTCAGACAGGGTCTTACTTGCAGCACAGGCTAAATCCCAATTGGCTGGTAGTCCAGGCTGGCCTCAGACTTCCTCTGGTTTCAGCCTCCCAAGTGTTGAGGTGCAAATGCTTCACCATGTAGGACTCCTAGACTTACCATATAAACAGAATAACTGGGGAGAGTTTTAAAACTGACCTCATTCCATTAGCAGAATACCCGCCCGTTCTGAGTGTGTCAATCACTTTATTTCATTACTGAGTAATATTCCACTGTATGGATGTACCACCACTTGTTCTACTTTCATTAGTTTAGCGACAGAGTAATTTCAAATTTTGAACAAGTTGGAATACAATGACAATAGACATTCACAAATATGTTAAATGACCATAGCTTTCCACACAGGAAGAAGTCTGCTCTGAGAAAATGTTTTTGAACATAAGTGAGAGAGCTACATTCTTTCCAACGATGTATGGTATTTCAAGTCCCTTCGTTTCCTCCTCAGCATTTATATTCTTCATTGTTTGAAGTCTTAAATACTCTCTTGGCATCATGTTATGATTTGAATCCTCATTTCTCTGATGACTAATGATCTTGCATTTTTATTTGTGAGCTAATTTACCATCTGTGTATCTTTAGCAAAATGTCTGTTCATATATTACAACCTCTTTGTAATTGGGTATTATCTTTCTTATTCTTAAGTTTGAATTTTCTTCATGGTTGCTAAATACAGCACCCTTAGCCGCTATTCATTGGACAAAATGTTTTCTTCAAGCCTGTTCCTTGGGTTTTCATTGGCTTAATAATGCCTAACACGGAGGAGATAATTGATTTTGCTCAAGTCTTCAGGGCCTGAAGTAAAAAACTAAGAAGTCACCACCTAAAATAAAGTCTTCAAGACTTTCTCCTGTATTTTCTTCTGGAGGATTTTATAGTTTTGAGGTCTATGTTCTTTCTTTTGATTTTTTTTTTTGGAATTTCATGCATGAGTATTGTATTTACATCATTCCCACTTCTCTGTTCCCAGCAGTTCCACCTGTGGCTCCCCAACTTCCTTTCAAAACCATGACCATTTTCTTTCATTATTATGTGTGTGTGTGTGTGTACATATAAACATTATATTGAAGATATATATTTTTCTTTAATATATATGTGTGTATGTGTGTGTGTTGCTCATATGTGTATATGGGTATAGGGCTGACTTCCTGTCAGTAGACCTATTACTGGGCTCCTTTCTGGAGAAGACTGGCTCCCCTTTCTCAGCAGACATTGACTTCCTATAGCTCTTCGTCTAGGGGAGAGGTCTTGTGAGATTTATCCCTATGTATGTTGGATGTCAAATGGTGTTGCCATTTTTCAGGCCTTGTTGAGGCAGCCATGTGATTTAGGTTCTCCGGACAGAGCTTTCCTATTGTATACAGAAGATAGTATCTCATAGCATACATTGTGATCATCTGGCTGTTAACTCTTCCCACCCTGTTTTCTGTGATGGTCCCTAGGCCTTAGGTGTAGGGGTTGTTATATATGTAACCACATGATTTGTTCTTCTCTGCATGCTGACCAGTTGTAGCTTTCTGTGGTCATCTCCCTTTGCTGCAAAAAGAAATGTCTCTGATGAGGAGTGAGAGACCCATGCCTGGCACTGGGTTATTGTTAGATCATCTCATGGAAGGAGCAGGGTGTGTGTGTGTGCGTGTGTGTGTGTGTATGCCACATGTGTGTGGCTTACTATAGGGTCTAGTTCCCTGACTTTGGAATTACAAGTATTTGTGAGCCACCTGACAGAGGTACTGGGAGCCTCTAAAAGAACAGGATACGCTGCTAACCATGAAAACATCTCTCCAAACTCCACGTGGTTACAATTTTAGAGGTACAATATAATTTTTAGTTTAAGAAATAGTTTTCTTTCTTCAGAAAGGACTTGAATACTGTCTTTATCGGTGACTTAGAACCCATTGATGACATGCCCTTGTTTGAGATGCTTGATTTGAATACAGAAGATATTTGTTAGCGACATAGACAGATACAACTTTACAACAAAACAAACTGCAGCTTCAGAGGATTCCAGGAAGAAATAAACCAACATATGCAATACATTAGTAGGAGCAAGTAAGAAAGAGAAAGCTAAACAAATGAGCAGACAAGAATGGAAATCCCACAAGTTCTAATTGATGTCTGCAAGGAAATTCATGGCATCTTCTTAAGGAACCCCATCCATGCTCTGCAGCAGAGTTAGAACAACTTGTTTACCTGGCACTGTTCTAGGACATGCCACTTATTATGCTGGCAATTGCAGAGGGGCTAGGCACGTGGGGATACTGTACAGAACTGGATCTGAGGTCAGTTCTTGGCTCTCATAAGATATGAGGTGTGGCTGAAGAGGATAGTGACTGGGTCATTTACTACGTGAGTGTGAAGAGAGTCAGGCTGCAGGGAACAACTACAAAGATAGGCATCAAAGTTTTCTGAAAAAGACATTTGATAGTACTGTACAATTTCAAAAAGTAATTTTATATTTCATACATTAGTTCTTGATGGTAAATTAGTAGTTTTTTTAAATTGAATTGGAACCATCAGATATTCTAGACAAAGAACTCTATTAGAAGTAGTGTACTTTGGGTGCTATTTTAAATTGAAATTATGATTTTCTTCTACTTTCTCAAAGGATTTCCTTATTGTTGTTTTGCCCCATTGTTGTGAATGTTGAGAAGTGTCCTTCCCATAGGCCCATGCATTTGAACACTTGATCTCCAGCTCATGGTGCTGTCTTGGGGTGTTATGGAATATTTAGGAGGTACAGCCTTAGTAGAGGAAGTGAGAAACTGAGGGACTGGCTTTGAGGGTTGATAGCCCATTTTCTGTTCTCATTCTATGTCTACTGTGTACAGATCAAATGTAATCCACCAGCTTCCTAATTTTGCCATGCCTGGTGTCATGGACTCCAGCACTCAGGAACCATAAGCCAAACTAAATTCCTTTTTCCATACATTGCTTTTGGTCATGGTATTTCATCACAGCAACAAAAGGTACTTTCTCAAAGAGTTGCAAGACAGGAGAAGAAAAGAGACAGAAAAAAATAAACCTGCCAAAATGATTTTAACTTAGTTTTATGACCAGACACATTCAGTTTTTCTTCAAGCCAAGATCACCTGAGAAATAATGTTCTAGGAGAATTGTGTGTCCTCATTGTTGACGTTTGTTTCCTTCTTATAAGGAAACAACCTTAGACCAGAAAGACCTTCCTCTGCTCCTCCTCCCTTTTTTGCTGTTTTCCTTATCTAATAATTTTTTCTGCTTTTGTCCCCTGAACTATTTTATTGGCTCGAAGAACGAGCAAGTACACCCCTTTTCACAGCTTCATTGAAAGAAGACCTCTAAAGAACGCATGTTTTTAAAAATTTGGTTTTTGTTCTTTTATTGGTGCCTCAATGACGTGTGATTCTGGGGTTCTCATTGTGCTCTTTTTGTGTGCCCAGTCCTTGATGAACACGCCTCAGCCTCAGAGGGTTCTTATTGCTAGTCTCCCAGCCAAGGACATGCAGCTCCAAGAAGTAGGTGGAATGGTTCCATGAGCTGTGGCTGATATGTAGTCATGTGACAGAAATAACATGTCCATACCTTGGCAACTTGACCTTATTTCTCAGAGAAGCTTACAAGAATTGAATGTTGTGTTAATGACCAGAGTCAAAACTACCATATTGTGGAAACAAAAGTATTCACAAAGCTAACCCAAATCTCTTTCCTTGTGCCTACACAGTGTCTGTACCTCTAATAAAATTCCACGGTTCCCTGAGATACCTTTTGCAGCCAAGTCACTATTCTTCACTTGGATCTTATCAACCATAAAGGATGGAAAAGTTACACAGAATGGCAGGAGACTTCATCTTAACTTAATGCTTTCAAGTAATTGCAAAGAGAATAAGTCTATGCTTCTGGTCTCAATCTTGCTTATACTAACTAGTAATAGGCCAAGGAAGGAACAAGAAGAAACAGTAGTCTTTAAAAATTTAATGTACTTTAGTGTGATAATATCTGTTAGAATCTTTTTAGTATTTTAAATTTAGATTCCCCCCCTTTTTTATTTTTTTGAGATCACAATGTAATTACATCATTCCCCCCTTTCTTCTCTTCCCTCTAAACCCTCCCTTTTACTCCTCCTTGTTCTCTTTCAAATTTATGGCCTCTTTTTAAAAACTGAGACACAGAAGCAAAATAATTAAATATATTTATGGGGTACCATATGCTGTTTCAATACATGTGCATATTATATAATATTTAAATAAGAGTAAATGTATCAGTCCTCTCGAACACTTAATGTTTCCTTGAGGAGGAAACCATAAATCTTCTATTCTTTAGCCATAATAAGTAATTAAATCAGGTCATTTGTAAGAACATAGACGAAATGGAGATCATTAAATTCAGTGAGTTAAGAAATAGGAGTCAAGTTACAGAATCTATTCACAGAGACAATTTTCTTCATTTGTCAGAAGGTTAATTAAATGAAAATTGTTAAATTTCCAGTCAACAAAACACATTTTAGAGTTTACTATACACAGATTACCATGGTGTTAAAAGTTGCCCACATATTCCTGGAGAGATGTGAAATGTAACCTTTGACACCCATACACCTGGGCAAAGTTCAGCTCTGCCACTTCCTGATGTAAGTCTCAGGGAACTATTTAACTCAAGCATCAATTTCCCAATAGAATAAATAAAATACGGTCCATGCAAGTTTAGTTATGTAGGAGGCTGTCCAAAATACTTTCTTTCCTTCACTGTTTTGTAATTCATTTTACTGTTGAACTAATAAACCTCAAATACTCGCTCTGTAACCATAGAACACAGCTAAGCTTGCCTAAGTACATGTAGGTTGGGAAAGAAAACTGCTCATATACCCAGGATGTAGTTGAAAGTCAGTTGATTGGAGAGCTAGTACACTCCTGCTATATTCCCTTTGTGATGTGGACATCAGCAGCAGGAACAATGTTGTGATTACTAACTTACCAACAAGCATTGCAAGATGCATTTTACTAATGTGCTTTTTCTTCACATTTCATTACACACACACACACACACACACACACACACACACACACACATATATATATATATATATATGTTCCTGTGGGTGTGGGCATTATCATTCATGATGGCACGACCTGGGGCTGGTCCCACAAGGATCTGTGGTATGTGGGAGACAGACAGCTAGGCCATGTGGAAAGAGCTTGGGTATAGAGTTTATTTAGTGAATAAGGTATAAAGGTAAGGGGTTATGGAAGGAAGAGCGAAGAGGATGAGGAGAGAAGGTGGGTGACCCACTTGCCTCTGAAGTATTGACAGAAGTTTCTGTCCTGCCCAGTCCCGCAGTCGTTCAGTCCCAATGAAAACATACAGAGGCCTACATTAATTATAAACTGGTTGACGAATTAGCTCAGGATTTTTTATTATCTAACTCTTACATCGTACATTAACCTATCATACATTAACCTATAATTCTTGTTTGTGTTAGCCATGTGGCTTGGTACCTTTTATTAATGAGGCATTCTCATCTTTCATCCTCTAAGTCTGGGTGAAGATTGCAGACTGAGCCTAACCTCTTCCCAGAATTCTCCTGTTCTGGTTGCCCAACTTATACTTCCTGCCTTACTACTGGCCAATCAACATTTTATTAAACCAATACAAATGACAAATCAATACAGGTACAAGACCATTGTCCCATGGCACTGTGGGAAGGGGGAGATTAAAAGTGGGTGGGCTTGTCTCTTTTTTTCTTGTTGATTTTGTTGAACTATACATTTTTTTCTGCTTCCCTCCTATCCTCTCCCTTCCCCTTCATCCTCTCCCATGCTCCCAATTTACTTAGGATATCTTGTATTTTTCTACTTCCTATGTAAATTAGATCCATGTATGTCTCTCTTAGAGTCCTCATTGTTGTCTAGGTTCTCTGGGATTATGATTTATAGGCTAGTTTTCTTTGCTTTATGTCTAAAAGTCAATTATGAGTAAGTATATATAATATTTGTCTTTCTGGGTCTGGGTTACCTCACTCAATATGATGTTTTCTAGATTCATCCATTTGCCTGAAAATTTTAAGATATTGTTTTTTTCTGTGGGTGGTATTCCATTGTGTAAATGTAAAACATTTTCCTTATCCATTCTTCAGTCGAGGGGAATTTAAGATTGTTTCCAGGTCCTGGCTATGGCAAACGATGCTGCTATGAACATAGCTGAGGACATGGCCTTGGGGTAAGATTGAACATCTTTTGGGTATATACCCAAAAGTGGTATTGCTGGGTCTTGAGGAAGGTTGTTTCCTAATTTTCTGAGAAATTGCCATACTGATATCCAAAGGGGCTGTACCAGCTTGCACTCCCACCAGTAATGGGAGTGCAACCTCTCCAGCATAAGTTGTCATCAATGTTTTTGATCTTGGCCATTCTTACAGGTATAAGATGGAACCTCAGAGTTGTTTTGATTTGCATTTCTCTGATGACTAAGGATGTCAAACATTTCCTTAAGTGTCTTTCAGGCATTTTAGATTCCTCTGTTGAGAGTTCTCTGTTTAGGTCTGTACTCCATTTTATTGTTTGATTATTTGTTCTTTGGATGACCAATTTCTTGAGTTCTTTGTATATTTTGGGGGTCAGACCTATAACCAAAGAAGTGGAAGACTTGTATGACAAGAACTTTAAATCTTTGAAGAAAGAAATTGAAGAAGACACCAGAAAGTGAAAAAATCTCCCATGCTCTTGGGTAGGCAGAGTTAACATAGTAAAAATGGCAATCTTACCAAAAGCAATCTACAGATTCAATGCAATGCCCATCAAAATCCCAGCAAAATTCTTCACGGACCTCGAAAGAACAGTACTCAACTTCATATGGAAAAGCAAAAAACTGAGAATAGCCAAAACAATCTTGTACAATAAAAGAACTTCTGGAGGCATCACAATCCCTGACTTCCAACTTTACTACAGAGCTACAGTACTGAAAACAGCCTGGTTTTGGCATTAAAACAGACAGGAAGACCAATGGAACCAATCCAAGACCCAGATATTAATCCACACATCTACAAATTTTTGACAAAGAAACAAAAACTAGAAAATAGAAAAACAAAAGCACATTTAACAAATGATGCTGGCAAAACTGGATATCAATATGTAGAATAATGAAAATAGATCCATATCTATCACTGTGCACAAAACTCAAGTCTGAATGGATCAAAGACCTCAACATGAATACAGCCACACTGAACCTCATAGAAGAGAAAATGGGAAGTACACTTGTATGAATTAGCACAGGAGACCCCTTCCTAAATATAACCCTAGTAGTATAGACACTGAGAGAAACAATTTATAAATAGGACCTCATGAAACTGAAAAGCTTCTGTAAAAGCAAAGGATATGGTCAACAAGACAAAAAGGCAGCCTACAGAAGGGTTTATCTCTTAAAGGGACAGGGTACCCAGGTGACCGGGTAGGCTCGCAGATTTATTACAACAGTGGGTATGTGTGTGCTTATGTTACTAACACGGAGGTCAGGGTTAAATGTCTCCATTGCTTGTACTCCTCCTTGTTTCTTGAGACAGTGTCTCTTGCTGAGCCTGGAGAGCATCCATTTCACTCCTTTGGCTAGACTTTCCACCGGGCGAGCTTCAGGAATCCATCTGTCCCTCCCCCATCCCCACAATCCCTCTAGAGCTGAGATTACAAATGGTGCTACCCTTCTGCTGTTTACATGATTGATGGAAATCCCAACTTGGGTCTTCATGCTTGCCAGAGGATGGTGGATAGATACTTAACACTGAGCCATCTTCTAACCTTGTCAAACTCAATCTTTAATTCTTCCTTTAGAATGGAAAATTCTTAGAGACTGAACACATACCTTGCTCTTTTTCATGCAAGTCCCCTGGTATCAAATAAAATAAATAAAAATAGGCTGTGGTTAGTCTAAGAATAAAAGAATGAATAGGGACAGAATCCCAAATGATCCCTAAGAAATCTATTTCAGTCTTTCTAATGTACCAGACCTGAGCATATCCCTACTTTTTTAAAAGGTCTTAAAAGTATGTTAGCATCGATATTAATATTTAAGTACACGTCTGGGTGTGATGCTTCTGAGAATTCAAGATCTATATTCTGACAGATTTAGATCTAAAGGATCAACTCTTAGGAGAGTTTACATTATTCACAGAATCCTCCAGGTTTTCTTATCCATCTTTTTATGGATACCCTAGAAAGTCACTTGTTTCCCCTGAGCTACACCCACTTTCCTTGGTAAAAGATGTTTTCCTTAAGCCTCCTTTGTACAACTGTGTAAACAGCATCAAGCAGCAGGTGAGTGTGCATTGCTCATTGCTGGTCTTGCTGTTGGCCTATGCCGATTTCAGGTCATTTGTGTATGAATTCTTTGTAATTTGGATTATCTCCATTGAGGGCCACGTGTAAAATATTTCCCTTCTGAAAGGTTATGAAAAAATCCACCTAACATGACAAGCTTAAATATGAACTGAGGTTGAAAAAGACAAGACACCAAATTAAATACAATATGAAAG